TGCCCTTTTTTGAGTTGGCTGGTGGCATGGTCAAACCGACTCTTTCTTCTTGAACTTTCGTCAGAGCAAGTGCTTTCAACTTTTCAAGTTTCAAAATTTCGAAAATTTTCAGTGCGCACTTATATTATTAAGTTGATAAATAGGATTTGAAACTTGTAATCATAATATATCATTTAATAAGTGATAAAGTTTTGAATAAAAATAATTAATTATAAATTTATAATAACGTATTATAAGTTTATAATAACGTATTATATTATAAATATATTATTGATTTTCAATTTAAAACTGTCTTAAATTAATTATTAATTTCTATAAGTAAATGAAAATTGCATTTAATATATAATTTCTTGAACATACAGATTTTAATTAGGGAAAATGGATTATATAGGTGTCTCTATCCAATTTCATTTGAATTAATCATTATAAGATTTTATCTAAAATAAAAAAACAATGAAAACATAGTAACCCAAAACCCTTATGCAATCTCTAAAATTATAAACTCTAGCTACTAATTGAGGAGGTCATTCGACAAGATTTACTTCTTGTTGTGTTATATTTTTTGGATCTACTTAACAATATCTTCAAATTTAGTGTCATAAAATACCAATAAACACCATATATTTTATAAATCAATCAATTGCAATGACATCTTTGTTGGAAACCTAAAGGGGATAAAAATCCTTATTGAAAATATTAAAAAAATAACAATAATAAAAACCTTGAAAGAAAAATTACTACACAAAATTTAGGGCAATAGTAAGCATACCTAAGAAAATTTTAAGAAGTCTGTCACCTTAATAGTATGTTTGGGTTGAGGGGAGAAGAGGGGGGAAGAGTTTTTTAACTAATTAAATTATAATATTTTTAAATTTAATTGGCAAATTTCCCTCCCCTTAGTTCCCCTTTGTTTACACAATAAATTGCAAAATTGTAAGATTATGACATGTGTCATTTATTTTCTTTAAACGGATGGTGGGGATGCTGCCATATTAGATTTGTTGTTGGGACCCTTGATAGATCACTTGTCAAATGGAATGCGGAGTCTAAACATACTATTCCTTAATTACCTACTTGAATTGAAGCGGACTTGTAATTGTTATATTTAAGGAGATGATTCGATTAAAAGAATGAGATAGCATATAACAAGCATAAGCGGTGAGATTTGAAAGAAATTCTAATATAATCCACTACTAAGGTGCCCATTTTATCTAAGAAACTACCCACGTCATGCAACTACCAGGAAGTAGGAGTTACAGGCATTGAAGGAGACAAACAAAAGTATATTTTCTAATTATTCAACAAACAATCAGCTTTGCACACGATCAGCTTTGCACACGATCCGAAACCAACTTTAGCACTCTTAGATCTTGTTAGCAATCGCTCCCTTCAGCTTCTAGATTTCAATTTTTAGCACAATTCTTAGTAAATTTAAGTTGATTTCAACATTCAAATAATTTAATTAGCTCACGAAGTTGCTTTTACAATTTCTCTTTCATGTAATGAACAACATACTTTTTAATTTTTATAAGGTATTATTTTCTTTTTGTCTGGTATTTGTTTAAGATGTATGATAAGTAACGTTTTTCTAAATAATTACTTATATGGTGTTCACATTTTTTTTTTTGTTTTTAGTGTGTTAGTTTAATCTCTATTTGTATTAGTTGCATGATCATTTATGATTAAATTTTTAATTTTATAATAATTTAATTTTCAATTTTCTATGTAGATCACAGTTTAATTGAACGATAAATATATATAATTTAATTTGAATATATCTTTTGTTTACAAGTTTATTTTCATTTGCACTTCATTTAGTTTATTTAATATTTGTTAACTTTAATTCACAATATTATTTAAATTTTTTAAACTATTAAAGACAAATTTAGTAAACTATTTTATAAGAACACATTCTTTCCTCTGCAAATCATCTAAAGGCATGGATTCTAACTATTCATATGAAAGTTGACCGAGAGGAAGGAAAACGTGGTTGAGAAAATTCCTTTTTCTTTTTTTAATTTTACATAAAAACAAGTGACATGCACAAATGACATACCACAAATTCAAATTTACCACCCATGGTGCCACTTTACAATTTTTAAGGAAAACCCTTAAACCAAACACAATGTAAGAAAAGAGAAGAAAAATAGTCAAGGGAATTTTGGAAGAAATAAATTTTAATTAATATATATTCATTTATTTAATTTCACCGTAATTGTCCATATAAGATTATAGTTCAATGGTTCCGCTAACCGTGCTTGTATGGTTGAGGTCGAAACAATGGGCCTTAACCACCAAGTCCACTCTATGAGCCCGCGCCCACGGCGTGATTCCTTCACTTTTTTTTTTTTTTCAGTTTTCACCTCTTTCTTCCCGCCAGCGCCGAAGGAATAATTTCATTTCATTTTATTTCCCCCTCACTAACAAAAATAAA